ACTTTCTCCTGTGGAAACAAAAGCAGATAAGGTAACTTTCAAAGAAAATTCTTTTTTTCCTTAAACTGACTCATAGCTTAGAAGTTGAGAAAATAAAGAAACAGCTAAGAAATAGTGAAGGGTGTTGAATGTCTAAGGGAATTAGAAAAAAAGAAGAGCCTTAATAGGAAGTGTGCACATTTGTGACCAAAAACTAAGCTACCAGAAACTATGAAGAATGAATCCAGAAGTCTTAGCTAGAGTAATCATGCAAGATAAAGAGATAAAAGGCATCTGAATAGGAAAAGAAGAAGTAAAATGATCTCTCTTTGCTGATGATATGACTCCATACACAGAATATCCTAAAGACTCAGCCAAAAGGCTCCTGGAACTGATAAACAACTTCAGTATACTTTTAGGATACAAATCAACACACAAAAATCAGGAGCATTTCTATACACCAAAAATGTTCAAGCCTTGAGAATCAAGTCAAGAACATAATCCCATTTACAATAGCCCCCAAAAATAAAATATCTAGGAATACATCTAACCAAGGAGGTAAAAGATCTCTACAAGGAAAACTGCAAACACTGCTGAGAGAAATCATAGACAACACAAACAAATGGAAAAACATTCCATGCTCATGGATTAGAAGAATCAATTTCATTAAAAAGGCCATACTGCCCAAAGCAATCTACAGATTCAATACTATTTCTATCACGGTATCAATGTCATTTTTCACAGAACTGGAAAAAAAACTACTCTAAAATTCGTATGGAACCAAAGAACAACCTAGATAGCCAAAGCAATCCTAAGCAACATGAACAAAGCCAGAGGTATCATGTTATGTTACTTTAAACTATACTATATGGCTACAGTAATCAAAACAGCATGGTTCTGCTACAGAAACAGACACATGAACCAATAGAAGAGAATAGAGAACCCAGAAATAAAGCTACACACTTGTAGCCACACGGTATTTGACAAAGTCAACAAAAATATGCAATGGGAAAAGGGCCCCCTATTCAATCAACAGTGCTGAGACAGAAGCTTTTGCTGTGCAGAAGCTCTCTAGTTTAATTAGGTCCACTTGTCAATTTTTATTTTTAATTTTTGTTTATGGTGTATTTAATTTTTGTTTATATGGCTAGCCATATGCAGAAGAATAAAACTGGACCCCTACCTTTCACCATAAACAAAAATTAACTCCAGATTGATTAAGGATTTAAAAGTAAAACCTCAAACTATAAGCCTAGAAAACACCATTCTGGACATTGGCCTTGGGAAAGAATTCACAACTAGGACCTCAAAAGCAATTGCAATAAAACCAAAATTGACAAGTGTAACCTAGTTAAACTAAAGAGCTTCTGCACAGCAAAAGAAACTATCAACAGAGTAAACAGCCTACAGAATGGGAGAAAATATTTGCCAACTATGCACCTGACGAAGGTCTAATATTCAGAATCTATAAGGAGCTTAACCAACAGAACAAGCAAAAAACAAATAACTTCTTTAAAAAGCAGGCAAAAGACACTAACAGACACTTCTCAAAAGAAGACAGACAAGTGACCAACAAACATGAAAAGATTCTCATCAGTAATTACAAGAGAAATGCAAATCAAAACCACAATGAGATACCATCACACACCAGTCAGAACGGCTATTATTAAAAAGTCAAAAAACAACAAATGCTGGCAGGGCTGTGGAGAAAAGGGAAGACTTGTACACTGTTGGTGGGAACGTAAATTAGTTCGGCCACTGTGGACGCACTTTGGAGGTTTCTCAAATAGCTTAAAACTGAACTATCTTTCAACTCAGCAACCCCATTATTGAGTATATACACAAAATAAAATAAATCATTCTACGAAAAAGATACATGCACTTGTATGTTTATCACAGCACTATTCACAACAGCAAAGACATGGAATCAACCTATATATTCCATAGTATATATATACCACATTTTCTTCATCTACAGCCAATCAAGGGTGGAGTAGATGAAGAAAATGTGGTATATATATACTATGGAATACTACATAGCCATAAAAAAGAAGAAAATCATGTCCTTTGCAGCAACATGGATACAGGTGGAGGCCATTATCCTAAGCAAATTAATGCAGGAACAGAAAACCAAATTCTTCATGTTCTCCTTTATATGTGGGAGCTAGACACTGGTTACTCATGGACATAAAAATGACCAAAAATAGACACTGAGGATTACTAGGGGAAGGGAGCAAGAGTTGAAAAACTAACTATTGGGTACTATGCTCACTTCCCGGGTGACAGGATCATTCATATCCCAAACCTCAGTATTGCACAATATACCCATGTAACTCACCTGCACATCTACCCCCGGAATCTAAAATAAAAGTTGAAATTAAAAAAAGAAAAAAAAAAAAAAGACCGAATCTATGACCTAAGTGTCAACTAGAGATAGCATTGGGTTAAGAGCACAGGGGCCTGGTTGGGGGTGTTTGGATCATGGAGATGGATCTCTTATGAATGGCTTGAGCCATCTCCTTGGTGATAAATTCATAGGAGATCTGGTTGTTCAAAGTGTGTGGCATCTTCCCCTCTCCCTTTTCCTTACTCCTGCTTTCACCATGTGATGTGTCTGCTCCCCCTTCACTTCTGCCATGATTGGAAACTTCCGAAGGCCTCCCCAGAAGCAGATGCTGACATGCTTCCTGTACAGCCTGCAGAACCATAGGCCAATTAAATATATTTTCTTATAAATGACCCAGTCTCAGGTATTTCTTTATAGGAGTGCAAGAATGGCCTAATACAGTCTCTAATATGTGTCATTATTTTCAGGACCCCTATGTTGCCACTGTTGACATCTGGGTTTCCATATCACAACACAGTCACCCTTCCCACTCTGCTAGCCAGAGGGTAAGCTACTGGGGACAGAAGCTGATATGGTTTGGCTCTGTGTCCCCACCCAAATCTCATGTTGGATTGTAATTCCCAGTGTTGGGGAAGGGACCTGGTGGGAGGTGACTGGATCGTGGGGATAGATTTCCTCCATGTCGTTCTCATGATAGTGAGTGAGTTCTCACAAGATCTGATGGTTTAAAAGTGGACACTTCCCCCTTCACTTGCTCTCTCTCTCCTGCCACCATGTGAAAAAGGGGGTTGTTTCCCCTTTGCCTTCTGCCATGTTTGTAAGTTTCCTAAGACCTCCCAGTGATGCTTCCTGTACAGCCTGTGGAATTGTGAATTAATCAAACCTCTTTTCTTCATAAATTACCCAGTCTCAGGTAGTTCTTTACGCAGTGTGAGAATGGACTAATACAGAAGCCATTGCTCTGAAGGCCTTGGTACTTACTGATCATACCCAGGCATCCAGATGTCCAACCACCTGCCATCTCTTAGGGTACTGGGGATGGGGTTTGGGGGGCAAGTGGAATTAGGGTCTCTGCTGTTCAGTAGAATGTACCACGCTTCATCCCCCAGGTCTGCAAAAATTCAGATCTTTCTAGCATTCAATCACTGAGCCTTCTCTTTAACACCCAGATTCCTTCTTGTGTCCAAGTATGCAGCTCTATCTAGCCTCCGTAAGCCAACATTTTCCAAAAAAGACCTATTTAATCTCCCTGGGGCAAGTGAAATGCAGCCCTCTGGGGTACAAACCTGTGGTTGCTTTTCTGGTAAAAACAGCTTGTATTTATTCATCTTTTTCCATAAGCCAGGCATATGGCAGTGTTTTGCAACAAACATCTCATGTGATCATCACAGGAGCCATCCCTGATAGGGAAGATTACCATTCCTGTCTGATAGCTGAGCTCAGGCTGAACCCCAGAGCCCAGACTCGAAATCACCACATTGCACTGCCTTGCTCTATAAAATAAGTTAATCAATCAATTAGTAACTTTCTGATTCTTTTTTGTGAGGATGCTGCAGCAAAATATAAGATACAAGTAAATTAATCAGATTAACTTGCCAGAATGATACCAATTAAATCCCAGGAACACCATAGGCTGGGTTCTAAGAAGGAAGTGATGCTCTCTCAACATTCGGCAAGCCCCATGAGGTCCTAGGGAGCTGTCCCAGACATTTTTTATCCTCTCTGTGGGCTTCTCAGAGAACGCATCTGCCCAGGCTAAATGTAACAGCATCCTCATTGTCTTGCCATTATGAATGCTCTGTGAAGAGGCCCTCTGAAACATCTCCCTGAGAGAGTACCCCTTGTTCCCGCCTCTCCAGGCTCTGCTTTCCCTTGGCCTGCAAAAAGAGCTCATTGTGTTCCCTTTTCTTTTCCTAAAAAAATAAAAATACGTATTCCCCATCCCCTAGTAAATACTGAAACTATTATTCCCTTCTTTAAAAAGTAGTTTCCATGCAGTACATTTCCTGTCTCAGCTCTGGAAGACTATGCACCCAAGCACCAAACTTCCAACCAGAGACAGAGACATCCTCTGATAACGAAAACCTTTGCTTCCTCTGTCTGTGACTTTGCACACAGTTGTTCAAAGTTGTTACATATCAAGACCAATCACATCCCTAGGACATGCCTCCCAACTCTCCTGACTCTTATGTTATTGAAAACAAATAAACAAACAAAAAAACTCCTTTATGATGATATTCAACTTGAGTGGCTTTTTTTTTTCCACTTTGGTCCTGGATATAATGAAATGATACATAATATGACAAATTTTCACTGTGTATAGTAGCAATACGAACACACATGCCAATGTATCTTAACATATCTACTTGGTTACATTTTGGGTTACAATAATTAACCTTGATTCATGTATTGGGAAGCTACAGGGACTATGTAATGCCTGCTTATAATATAGGAAAATTATGTCCATGATTCTGAGCTCCCTTCTTCAAAAGCTTCCTCCGGGGTTTCCTATGTTCTCTCTTTATCATGAAATACATTTATTAGGTTGTGAGGTATGTTTAAGGAGTAGAAGCCAGGGGTATGCTTTCGGCATTTATTGCAACCCAAAGTTAACCCCATCACAGTTAATGAGCATCTTTGGTCTCTTGTGGAATTTGAACTAAATCTATGAGCCTTTTTCAATATCTATAATTCTATGATTTTTTTAAATTATGGGAAATTAATGAAAGATGTTTACATGAATAATGTTTGTCCTTACTGTGTTATGAATTAGTTTTTTGTAGTGTGTCTAGGTGCATGATGCAAGAGAGTAGGAAAAGTGTTTCTGAAACAAAACTTGACAAATATTTGTAATGAAAGTAAATTTAAAGACTGCTATAACTGCGCTATAGAAACAATTCAAGTATTAAACAAAATACACAATCAAAACAAAAGTAGTTGCCATGAACTATGTTTTTTCATCACTTTTCAACCTCCTACAATCCAATACTTACCAGATTTCATAATTTAACATCTCTGAAATTAGAAATAAATCTTACATCCAATGGCATCTTTACAACTCTAAGTGGCAATATTCTTCTTGTTTTTCAGTGGTATATAAATTAATGGTGCATCATTTACAAGGCGGCATTTTAGATTCCATCAACTGTGGTATGTATAATGCATGGTTGAAAGATACTGAGTTAGAACCTCTCCGAGGGCAAGAAAAAGAAACTGTTTCTTATTTATCTTGTACCTTGTCCTCTCCACACTCAGTGTTCTATTAAGTGATTGATTCACTTATTAATTTTAAATTTAGTCCAGTAGAACTAAATTTGTTAGCACATTTCATCTGAGATGTCTACTAGATATAAGCTCTACGAGAACTTCCAGGAAGAAATGGAACCATAAAACAAAGTCTTGCCTGTCAATCAAAAAAATAATTCCAGTAATCTTGTCTACCCCTAAGTATTAAACTAAGCTCCCAAACTATGAACCACAATCATTTATATTTGTAAAATATATATTTTTTAAAATATTTGAAAAATGTTAGTATTCAGACAAAAATCATTCACAATACCTAAACATATTTTGTCAATAATATTATGCAGTTAGAAACCATTCCTGTTGTTCAAAACACATCATCTTGTAGCTTCAGAAAACTATTAGCTACCATGCAAAACAATACCAGGAAAACATTTTGACGTGCCCTATAGAATTTTGTAGGTTATTTGGTTAAAAAAAAATCTGTTTTTATCTAGCTTAGACCAAATAGGCACCTCGTAAAGAAAAATGTGACTTATCATGTGGTCCAAATAGGTCAGAGTGCCAACTGCCATTAGCAGTGGGACAAGACTAGTCATTGATGGCCCATGTTCATTCGTATTGGTCAGTGCCCCTGTCAAACTGATTGTTAAATAAGCTTAATATCTCCCCCAGTCACTAATCATAATCCCAAATTAATTTATTCTTTTTCAGTCGTTATTTAATGAAAGTGACATTATCTTGAGAAATTCAGTAACAGGAATTTTATTCAAAACCTCTTCTGAGGATATTTTGGGGTCAGTATTATTTCTGTCCAATCTTTGTGCATTATCTCATACTTCTATATCTCTATAGTGCCACATACTGAGCAGAGACAGAAAGGGGACAAGAAGGAAAATCATCAGCTGTCAAAGCAGCATCCTAATCATTGCTCACATTTACCTAGAAGAAGGCAGGGAGTATAGAAACATTTATGACAAGAGGCGAAACAACTACATTTCTTCTTGATCATTACTTTATTTCCTAGTTAACTATCATCTCTCCACGCATCCTGCTCCAGTAAGAATTTTCTGTGTAAGTCTAGGGCTGCAGTTTATTAACAATTTTAACTTGCCCTTGTTAAACCTTATGGGAATCTGAATTGAGATAGCCAGAGATATCTGGCCAATTAATCATTATTATTTCTTGAAATCTGGATGTTTATGTATGCAGCTCCAAGCTGATTTGCATTCTGCACCAATTACAGGAATAGATCTGCCAGGAAGTTTTGAAATTCGAGGACAGATAGGGTTAAGTCAGAGCCCCAAACTACAGATTAGCCCAGCAAGTCCCTCCAAATCTTTTGCAATACACATTTGGTAATACGTGGGTCATTTAGTTCTGGCTTCCAGGCAGTTCAGCTAAAGGCTTAGGCTAGAGAATTGCAAAAGCTGATGATTTCTCACCAAGGAATGAAATGTGACGCAGTAGAGCAAACTGCAGACATTTAATACCAGATGTTAATGTAAAAATTGGAAAATTGTGACCCCCACATGGTTATCTGACCCAAGGCCTGCAGAATCCCATCACAAAGTCTGTAAGTCATCATTATTACTGGATTCCTCCACTGTGCCTACTCTTTGTAGTGTAAAATAATAATTCTGAGTCATATAACTGAGATAATTAGATCATATCAATCTTGAGGCATTTTGTGCACACACTAACAGAGTAATTCAATTTCTTACCATAAAAATCAGAAGTAGAGCTTTTCTGATTAGTTGGATTTCCTAGTGACTTTTTAGAAATAGTTTGAGACATTTTTATTTCCTTTGCCTTCCACACCTACCTAACGTCACTAAATGCTGTAGGAAAGGAAGGAAGGGAGATTTTTATTTGCACTGAAAGGTAAAAGAACATTTGAAACATATATTTCTGAACATTTTTACATCTGTTTACACATCTTCCCTAGATCTGCACATTTTAAATCTACACAGACACAATACAGTTTATGTAAGAATGATACACAAACTGCAAAGTGCTGTATAACTATGAAGAAAATTGTTCAAGCTCTGTTGCGCCAACTTGGGTCCCAAGGGAACAGAGGCTCAAAGAATCTCCATAAGCCCAGATTCAAGGTAGGGAGGACTTTTAAATGATCCTCTTCTTAGCTGGACATGAGTGTCTTACCTTCACATCTGGATACTTTTGTTACTCAAAATGATGAGAGAGGAAAGGAGGGTGTGGAGATATCTTCATGAATCATTAACAAGAAACTGAGCATTCAAATGACCCAGGTAAAATGTCACCACAGGGTTTAGCAGCTCTTTGGTAAGCTGAGAGAAAAGCCAGAGATAGCAGTGCATCAGGGACTAGTCTAGAGAAATACAAACCAGTACAAGAGCCTGAAGAGCCAGGCCCTGCCCTCAAGAGAACACCCAATTCAGTTTCTTCTCTCTCTTTCTCCCTCCCTCCCTCCCTCCCTCCCTCTCTCTCTCTCTCTCTCTCTAAGAAAGGCAATTGCAAATATACAACAGACATCACTGACAAGAGCAGCTCACAGATTGGGTAAATGAGAAAAGGTCTTTTTTTTTTTTTTTTTTTTTGAGGCGGAGTCTCGCTCTGCCACCCAGGTTGGAGTGCCGTGGCCGGATCTCAGCTCACTGCAAGCTCCGCCTCCTGGGTTCACGCCATTCTCCGGCCTCAGCCTCCCGAGTAGCCTCGCCCGGCTAGTTTTTTGTATTTTTAGTAGAGACGGGGTTTCACCGTGTTAGGAGAAAAGGTCTTTAAGACCATCCTGTCCCAATTTCTCTGTCAATGGACGAGGACACCAAGGCCTGGAGAAGTCAGGTGGCATGCTCCAGCTCACAAAGCAGCACCATCACTGTGACAAGAAGTCAGGGCTCCTGGTCCCCATTCTGATAAGCTTTGCTTGTTCTCACACAAGATGTGAAGGAAATCTTACCATTCAGGAGTCAAATATAATCCACTTTTTTTCTTTGAGGGATTGCATTTTATTTTTCAGAGAGTCAGATTATCTCAAAAAAAAAACAAAACATATAACTGGAAAACTCTTTTCTCCCTCCCACCATCCTTTCCTCCATTACTTTTTCCTCTCTCTTGCTTTATCTGTCTTACTTTCTTCCTCCCTCTCTCTCTTTCTTTCCTTCATAGGTATATGCATCTGGAGGCAGAGGAGAGAGCCAAAGATAGCAGAGCTCAGTCAGGGAAACTCGATTTGCAATTGCCTATAACAGCTCAAAACTTGGACTGAGATTTTAAAAACACAAGATTATCAACTTCAATCTTGAATCTAGAAGAAAATAGTTTTTCTCTCCAAATAATTTGATAACATTTATGTAAAATTAAAATTTTATTATTCCCCAGTGCCCCCACCATCACTACTCACCTCTCATCACTTTTCATCTTCAGGTTCAAAATAATCCCTGGCACTTGTAATTGAATGATCTCGCAATGGGTGTGTGAGTTTACTTGGATCTCATGGGGCCAAAGTAAGCGGATAATATGTTTCTCTCACAATCATTCACACTATTTGTTTATAAACACCCTTATTTAATTTAAACTGGATTTGCAAAATTGGACCATTTCTAATCTTTCCTATCCCTTACACGTAGGTCCAATTGTTTCATTTTATTGTTGACTCTGGTTCTAAGAATGAGTACATTTCCCTCAGCATGTAAAGGAGAGAAAAAAATATCCATGGACTAATGTAACAAAAATCTCCCCAATGAATTTCCCATAAAGAAGAGATAAAACATCAAGTACCAATAGTGCCAAAACATTTACTGAAAGTTTTCAAATCTTGCAAAAATATTACAAAAAGCGAGCAAACATGGTGAAACTAATGACAAATTAGACATTGAAAACTAACATCTGGGTAAGTGTAAGCAGGCATGTAAGGGAAAGAGAACGTCCATCGGCAGTTGTTATGGTACACGACTGCATTTGACTCTTTTACACATATTATGTCACTTGATCCCATTTAGGAAAAATTATCCCAGACTTGGAAATTTAGATTTTAAAAAATAGTGGCCTATACATATCACATTAGCTCATTATCCATCAAGCTCACTCAAGTGTCACCTAACTCTCTTGGGAAATGTTACTTTGACCAAGAATTTAATAGGGACCAGATTAAGGACTCTGCAGAATTAGAAGTTGACTTGTAGAAAACCATTAAGACATGATGCTTTATTTTTGCTTTCTGGTAGAGAAATGTACCTCCACGGTTATAATTTTATTTCCCTGTAGGACACTAACCAGTTTCATATCTTACTGGCAATTTCATTTTATCAAAGCTTTCCCCACTGACTACTTAAATTCCACTTTTTTCATATTCTCTTCCAATTTCTCTGCTATACTGATGTCAAGTTAACTGGAACTTAACTCATCTGTTTATGAAATAATTATGTTTTTAATAATTTCAGAATTTGTGCTTTGACAACCATCAAACAACCACATGAGGTAGGTAGTATGTCCTCATTTGACAGAGGAAGAAACTGAGCCTCAGAGAAGGCACATTATCGTCCAGGTTTATAGAGATAAGAAGTGATAGAACTGAGGTTTTCACACAAATATGCCCAAATTACTTGACAGGAAAGACACTGATGATTCACATGGGGACTGAACATTTGAGCTGCAACATCTCCAAAAAAATCAACCTTACCCACATATGTTCACTACACATTTGAATTATAAACATGACAGCTGAGCATCAAAAGCAAGTAACTTTAAACGATCTAAACCTGACTTTTAAAATAGTAATTAAAACATTATTTATTAATTTGTTTGGCTTCAATTCTGAAGCTTTAAAAATTGGAAATGTTGAAAATATTTGCCCATTGTGTGAAATTCCAATGCTTTGCTGATTCCATTAATGGTCTGGATGATGCTCAGTAAATTACTACTGAGGTTGTTAGAAAAGCCATTGAAAAGTATTTAGAATACTTAGTGGCAAGCCTCTCTGACATTTCATAAGCATGTCCTTACATGACACAGACTGAGAGCTTTTTGAATAAATTTGATTAAATTACCAGCCTATCCTGCTGCAAAGATGTTCACTCTCCTTTGTCTCTAGACTGGTAGAAAAATGAGAAATATAAACACACTTTTGTATTCTTCAGGCGTGAAGGCCATTTGTTGTCCTGGCTGAACAGACAGGTAGATATCAAGACTAAAGAGTGACATGCAACTCAGTCTGAAAGCACCACAGTACACACTTTAAATTTTAAAAGTATACCTCGGGAAAGGCTGATCTTACATATATGTGTTTATCTGTCAACACGCATGCTTTTCGGCTTGGATATATATACCTTTAAAATGCACCCTTTTATCCGCCTGAGGATCCATTCAATGTATATGCAGCTTTACAAGTTTTTCTCCATAAATAAGATTCTAAAGTTCAGGTCAATTGGTATCTAGGTTGATTTTAAAAAGAAAAAAAAATCTGCACTTGTAACAGTGTTTTGTCTACCAAATCACAAACCAGACAGTGACCCTCTGGCCTGGTTTTCCATAGCACACACTCCTGTTTAATGGGCATTGGCAGCTGTCTGCCGCAGATTTCAGTTAAGTGAGGCAATCTGCCCGCCCCACCTCTTGCCTCAAATCTCAAACTCTGGAGCCAGCAGAATTTCAGCTCCACCTGAAGTGAAAAGATAACTATGTGGTTTAAATTCATATTGACTCACAGTTTCACTGTTTTATCCTGGCCAAAGCTGCTCACTGTGTCTGTGGTTTTCTTACATAAATTTTCAATCCAGCTAGTGCTATTATAATGTGTCTTTTCCAGCCCTGATGTTGGGGGTGGATTTTTAGCTCGCATATTTTTTCCAGATGTGATAAGTTCTCCATAGCCCTCTTGGTGAGCAAAAGCATATCCAGACCTTCTTGAGCTTGACCTGCGGGTCCGAGGCCTTCGGCTACTTGGAGGCCTTGCCTTCTTCTGAGCCTTCTGCCACCGGCGGATCTGGAGACAAACAAGACCCAAAGTGAGCTGAGGCATCCAAATGATAGACTCCAGGCAGTGGCCCACTTTGTAAAGTGAAAGCCTTTTTTTAAGTAAAAACAACATTGCAAAAGGAAGTTTTAAATCTAAAAACTAAAAAATTTTCCACCCAAAAGATGACACTGGGGGCACTCGTGCATTTTTATTTCTATCGAGAAACTATTAAGTAATTAAGAAATACCAGAAAAATTTCATTACTGTCTCTCATATATCTTCAATGTACACAAGCATACTTTTGCATAGAAAGATTTTCTAACATGCACCGCCCAAAGTCAGCATAATAATTTATAATTTCATTCTCCCAAAACAGCCTTTTTCCTCTCTTTCAGGGATTCTCTGGATCTAACAGTCGTCAGTAACTGGACTAGAAGAAAATTGAGAAAATGAGTCAGAAATACTCAATTTTTGCAGTAGGTCAGTGTATCATGAGACTTCCAGGGTTTCGATTTATTTTAGGTTTGCATGGCCTTCCTAAATGTTCCACATTATCTGAGTAGGTTTCCTACAACTCTTTCATTTCCCTGTAAAGCTAAGGAGAAAAAGACCTGAGGTTTGTTGTAAGCGACCTTGTTCTCCGGTTTGGCAAATCACTTGGATTCTGACTTTGTGTCAGGGGAAAGCCATCAAGCAGAACATCACGATCGAACTTACAGGACAAATGAGCACAACTTTCCTTCCTTAACTCATCCACCATTTTCTGGGTTTATGTCAGAATGAGCTTGGAGAACTGAAGAGAGGACAGATATGACAAGGGACTCTGAATTCTTCCAGAAGGAATCTTTTTAGACTTTGGTCCCAAAATGTCAGAGACATGATGATGAAAAAAATGTCTATCTCTGTCTACCTCGGTCTCTCTCAGCATCACTGGCCTGGTCCCACTCACCACAGCAGCATGTTCCCCCTTCTCATGACATGGCTACAAATGTTTGTCTCCCTTTCTTTCTCCTTTTCACGTTTCATCTGAGTCCTGACCTAAGTTGACATTGTCCTACTTACTTGTCTTCCCATGAAATTCTGAAATATGTTCTGTTAATTCTCCAGTTAAGGAATTTCTATAACTTGTTCTTCCTACTTTCCTTCCAAGTTTACTAATCTACCCAGCATGCTGCTCTTCCCCTTCTTAATCTGTTCCGAAGGTAACATCTCACCCATGTTTCTGAATCTGCTACTGGATTTCTACAAAAATGTTAAGCCCCTTTGACTCGTACCATGCTTGTCTCTTTTACTGTGCTTGTGCTTGCTCTCAAATCAGTATCTTTTTCTATAGCTTGCCTTTCCCTTGGAAAAATTGTCCAAAATGAGGCCTGTGAGCTTCTTTTTAAGACTCAGCTTTTTAAAATGCCCAGTTTAACTTGTAATTTATGACTCCCCATCCACATTTAGTGTAGATGCCTCTCTTCATTGGCATTAAGGACTAGTACATTCAAGATGCGGAAAGTCCCATCTATTCTGATGTGATCTAATACACCAGTAGGTGTTTGCTTGTGACAATTTCATTAGCCCATCTCTGAGCTTCCAATAAGACAGAAAAGGACACCATTTCAAGAGCCAAAAACCAGCCTTCAAGTATTCATCAGCACTGTGACATACCTGATCACTCAGGGTTGGGTATAAATTCACCTTCAAAAATCTGAATACCACCACTGGCAAAACCGAAGCCACTGTTGTTAAGAGAATTACCAGCCAGATGCACTTCTGGGTCAGGGAATGTCGTGCATTACCTATTATTAAAGAAAACATGCACTGTGGTTACAAGTAGGACTGAATTATTAATTAACAGGTTCTTTGCTCCTACAAGATCTTTTTTTTCTTTTCCTTTTTTTTTTTTTTTTTTTTGAGATGGAGTCTCTGTTCCCCAGGCTGGAGTGCAGTGATACCATCTCGGCTCACTGCAAGCTCCACCTCCTGGGTTCACACCATTCTCCTGCCTCAGCCTCCCGGGTAGCTGGGACTATAGGCACCCACCACCAAGCCCAGTTAATTTTTTTTAATATTTTTAATAGAGACAGGGTTTTACCATGTTAGCCAGGATGGTCTCGATCTCCTGACCTCATGATCCGCCCGCCTCAGCCTCCCAAAGTGCTAGGACTACAGGTGTGAACCACTGCGCCTGGCCAAGATCTTTTTTGAAATGGTGGGATTTGGATCACCTAATGTCACCATGATGATAAGAAGGCAGAAGTGCTAAGATCACCCTCAGGAATTGCTTAGTGGCCTGATCACTTAGAGATTACCAGCCTGAACCAAGCATTCTCTCACCCAGGCTCAGTCTAATATCACTCACGGAGCACAATTCTCTCTTCCAGCATCAAGATCTTGTGGTTACAAAGCAGCCATTATTTTTAAAAGGCACATTTACCCTTTACCTTTGTGGACTCTTGAATTAAAAGTGTCATATCAAAACTACACAAAAAATCTTCCAGATGCAGATACAGTCTCAAATAATGATTGCATTGATTGGCTTGTCATAAAAGGGGAGCTTTTTCTACTGCAGGAGCAACTTTTTAAATTCCAGGCAATGGCCTGAGAAAACTCGCCTCAGAGGGACTTGTTATTTCTTTATTGTTCATTCAGTTATGAGGTCCTCAAAGTTCCAAGATCAGGAAGGCTCCTGGGTTTGTGAAAAGAGCATTCCCTCACCAGGAGACTGTTGATGCAGCCACCCAACATGCTAGGGCAACAGGACAGTGAAACTCATTTCCAAGCCTGAAGTCAGTTTCCTTACTCTTTACTCACACCTCACATACCCCAATGTGGGCTTAAACAAGGCAATAAGGGTCAGTAAGGCAGGCAGACAAGCTCCATGGGGAGATGACAACCCTGCTTATATCACCAAAATAAACTTTTGTCCCTGTTCATTTTCTAGAGATTTGTCATCATACCCCCAATTATCCAGGTCCCCTATCCCAGTATTCAAATGTTACCACCATTCAAATGGGCTTTGGGTATGAGGGCTTGGCTACTGAATGGTATGTCTGCTTTTTCTGGCTTTAGAGAGAGGAATCTGCCTGCCCAAGAGCAGCTGATTCCAGTTGCCTTCAGCCATGGGCAGAAACAAACTTGATTCAATAAATTAAATGTCTCTTTGAGCTCCTTGAAGCTTGGTACCCTCAGGCATGACTGGGAAAACAAGCTTCACTTTGAAACCACACTCCTGCTTGCTGCTAGCTACTAAGGAAAAAAAAATTTTTCCTGAAACCCCAATGTTGATCTAACTTTTAAAAAATTTCATTGGCGCTCAGTAATTAATTACTGAAATGGCATGTGCTTAGCTGGAAAGAGTGGTCCCTGCACAAATTACTTTCTCCAGTTGAGGCATTCTCATCTCATTATGCATCACAGTGCTCTCTTAGGACGGAAATCTTCCAGTCAATACACTGAACTTTTCGATTTGGCAAACCATCTTAAAAAAATAAAATAAAAATAGTTTTAGTGTCCTTGTTTCCCAATATGCTTATTCTTACTCATGACCAACATGTCTCTACATAGTTGGAATCTTTTGGTAAACAAAGTATTACCAGTACGTATTAAGTAAGAGTGGTGCAACTTAAAGATTTCCATTTACATGTAGGAAAAGGCAAAAGGTGAAGAACAGTTTTAAGTGTATGCATGAATTTCAATTGAATTACAATTTCAGGTGCCTTTGCATCAATGTGGATTTATAACCTTACTAACCTTATAATCCTATTTCAGTCCTTGTGGTCTTATTTTGCTTTCTACATAAATTAGTCCAAGAATTTACTTCCTCAATTAGTGAATACAAATCTCACTCTTGCCTGATTAAGTTCAAGAATGTTGGTCACTGCGCATCTCTCTTTTCCAGTTTGTTTAGATGAACTTGGTTAGCAGTTTATTTCACACACACTAGAGATTTCAAAACCTCTGAGAAAGTATATTAATATCCCTCTTTTATTAAGCTCAGTGGCCTTTGCTGGGAGTCCTTTTGAAATGTGGAGTGCAATGATAGTATATCCCATACATAGACTAGAGGTATACTCTTTGTAGAATAATAGAATTTTTTTAAGGGATTTTAGAGGGTCCTTTGCTACTCATCTGATGTTCAAATTCCTCTGCAATGTTCCCACCAGTAATCAAGCCGCATTTGCATGAATAATAATAATCACCATCATCATGGTTAACATTTATTTAAAAAGTACTATGTACCAGGATACATGCTAAGTGCTTTATACGTATTATTTCATTTAATCCTCATACATTTTCCATGAAAATAGGCTTATTAATATCCTCAGTTTATAAGTGAAGACATTAATGCATAGTATAATGTTGTGAGCTGTATGTTTAGTCTTTTTCTCTGTTTTCTGGCATAGATTTAAAACTCCTTGAAATCCTCAAAGTGATATGTGTCTTTTTGTTTGTTAATGAGTTGACTGATGGCTGGAAGTCCCTAGGTAGCTTCAGGATTGGGGCTGGTCATCGAAAGACTAAGGTAGGATTAGAGGGTTGGGACTTTCAGCCCCAGCCTCTAAGCTCCTGGAAGAGAAGAGGGACTGAAGGTTAAGCTGATCGCCAATGGCCAATGACTTTGTCAATCATGCCTATATAAAAAAAGTCTCCATTACAGCCTTAAAGAACAGGGTTCAAACAGTTCCTAGGTAGCTGAACATGCAGAGGTTCCTGAAGGGCAGCATGCCTAGAAAGGGCAGGGAAGGTCCACGCCCCTTCCCCCATACATTCTCTATGCATCTCTTTATCTGTATCCTTTGTAATATCCTTTATAATAAACCAGTAAATGTAAGTGTCTCCCTGAGTTCTTTGAGCCACTCTAGAAATTAATCAAACTCAGGGAGGGGGTTCAGGGGAACCGCGATTTATAGCCAGCTGGTCAAAAGTAGAGGTAAAACATCCTGTGGCTTGCTACTAGCATTGGAAGTGCGGGGGCACTCATACAGAACTTAGCCCTCAACTTGTAGCATCTGACACTACCTCCAAGTAGATATTGTTGGAATTGAATTCCAGCTGGGGTTCTCTGCAGAAACACCTCATTGGTTGTTGGTGGGACGAAATCCCCACTTCTCAGTGACCAGAGGTCACAGAAGTCTTCTGTGTTGCTTGCTGAGTGAGAGTATAGGAGAAACTGAATTTGTTTATTCCTATATATTCTCACGTGGAAAGAAGAAACTTGCCCAAAGTCATACAGCTTGTTAAGTGGTAGAGCTGGCGCTTGAACCCTGACTGTCTAACTACAACGCCTACTCCTCATGCCACTTACGGATTAATGTCCAGGAATTTTTAGAAGGCTCTAAATTATACTTTGTTTCATTCTTATCTAAATGCAAATAAGCTTTATGGGTGAATTTTGGCAGATGTTGGTGATAACGTGGCATAAAAGGAGAGTCTAGTATTTCTTTTTCTTCTCTCTACCATATATGAGCATTTTACAGGTCTTCAGGTAGCCCTAATGTATGTGCTATGCCTCTCATTGGCAAGGAGACAGCCTACTACATGTAAGCTGTTGAGAACCTGTAAGCTACTGTGAGTGATTCTTCTGCATCCAGTAGAGGCAGCAGAAACTGAGCTTTTAGAGCCACTTTTAAACTTGGAAGCCTTCAGATGCCTGGCTCAATCAATTTCTGGACAAAGGATCACTAATCATCCCCAACTCCACCTAACACAAAAAATAAATTATAAGACAAGTAAACAGCAGCACGACAAGTAAACATGACTCACTTACCAACAAATGGAAACTGTTTTGGGAAGATGCCAAAGATGCCATTACTGTGCATTGTAAATAAAATGGAGAAATAAATGGCAATGCTCCCCCAGATGAAGACATGATTAATGAAAGTCCAGTAACTGGTATCCAAGGCTATCTGTAAATAAAATCAAATGCAAAGGGGAGGTCTTTGAGGATTAAAAGAGCACCATTTATCTAGTGATGTTTCCCCAGAATGGCCCTGTGGCAGGAAGGTTGCACCTGCCTAGTTGCCAAGTCAACTATGGGCATCCCTACTTCCTGAACACACACAGGGGACTGATCTGACTTCATATTTCTGGCAGAAAATTGACTTTACAACTTCTATATGCAAGCCATTATATCTGCCACGGTCGAGTCAGAATCAGGAGGTGAGATGTTAAACATGTTAAACTTCTTTTAAGTGAGAAATATGAAAACACAATGACTTATAATTTTTAAGTTACTTTCAAAATGCCTCTCAAAACTTTTCTATTGGAGAAAAATTCTCTCTGTAATGGGCAAGTGCAACATGTTATACTCGGTAAGTAAATGTTCACAATACCATTTTTACACATGCATGATCTTTTTTACAACAATATCCCAATTCATTTTGATGATCCTTTCTCTTCAATTACTCAACTTATAACAAAGAAAATTCTTCAGCCTTATTTTGGCATAAAATTCAGAAACTGGGATTCACGATGGCCTGGGAACATGGTCATGAGCTCTTCTTCCTTCTAGTAACTTACTGCGGCAGCTCAGCTGAAAGAGTGGTCTGCTATTGGAGAATCAAGGACAACACTGGTAAATATGAACACCTGAGTTTTCAGAGAATTAAAAAAGTATGTTCTGGTATCATTATTTGCATCTCATAGGGCCCAAGTGATTCAGGTCCAAGTGAAGGTTTGCATTTCTAGTAGTTTGTTGCAAGACGAAAGATTTCTCATCTGTCTGAGGCGGCCCTACCTGCTTAGTAAATAAATCCCTCTCAACATGCTGAGAGATACTTTCTCTTCCCACTTGTAATTTACTGTCCCTTAAAATGTGTCCCCATTAAAATGATGCTGGCAGCCTTTGATGTGAACTACAGGGTTTATAAAAGTACAGCCTTTCCTCTCCTCAGGAGGTCTGAAAACAGCCCTGCCTCCCATGCCTCAGCAAAGACATGCCTGCTTTCCAGTTCATTTGGCTGCCAAGACATTTCACCAAAATCTCCAACTTTACCTTCCACCACCTGTTAGTTTAACATTCTCAAGAGACAATGATAGCCTGATCTGTGTGGGTAAGAGTAGGCGAAGAAAAATTACAACCCATTTAAAAGGATTCAGCTGAAAAAGCAAGAATAGGTGGCTCCTATTGAAGCAGAACTAATAGAAGAGACAGACAAGCACGGTAACAACAAAATATAATAAGACCCCTTAAGAAGATGGAATTAGGTCTCAGAAAAAAATCTGAAAGAAAAACACACTACTTCTGAATTTAAAAATTCAACAGCGAAACTAAAGAATAGTCAATGAATAGAACTAAATTAACATTCTGGACAAAACAATACAAATAATATCTTACAATAGAGAACAAAAACTTGGAGACATGGAAACCATTTGCAAAAAGATATGAGACATGAAGAGCAGATTCATAGATCTCAGATCTATGACCCCAATATACAAATAATGGCATTTTAGAAAGAGAAAAAGGAATCAATGGAAAAGTAACAATCAAAGAAATGACAGCAGAAAACGGCTCTGTGATAACAAATAGCATAGACTTTCAGATTGACAGGGTCCTTTAGGTCCTAGCCAAAGTAATGAAAGAAGATTCTGGTGACATAATCTTTTATGCAGAGAAGGAAAAAGAATCAACCTAACATCAAACTATCACAGTGAAAAAGAAGGGTAAGTAAGATAAAAACATTGCCAAAACTGTTTAATTGAAGAAGCATAAGGAAAGGTTTAGAACAGGATAGTGAGACATTTGATGAAGGATAGAATTTCATATTATCTGTGGAATTCCATTCTGCCAATATGGAAAGATATATATATTTAAATAACTATGAAAATAAAGAGAAATCACTAGTAAAATAAGAATATAATAGTAAAACTTGTAAATTATTCATTAGAAATTGGATTTTTTGTTGTTGTTGAGATGGAGTCTCGCTCTTGTCGCCAATGGCATGATCTCGGCTCACAGCAACCTCTGCCTCCTGGGTTCAAGTGATTTTCCTGCCTCAGCCTCCTGAGTAGCTGGGACTACAGGCAAGCGCCACCATGCCTGGCTAATTTTTTTGTATTTTTAGTAGAGACAGGGTTTCGCCATGTTGGCCAGGCTGGTCTTGAACTGTTGACCTCAGGTAATCCGCCCACCTCAGCCTCACAAAGTGCTAGGATTACAGGCGTGAGCCACTGAGCCTGGCCAGAAATGGGATATTTTAAAACCATAATTAATGCGTACAAGTATGAAAGAGTAAAAAAAAAAATTGAAAAGCAGAATTAAAAGTAATCGTAAAATAATATAGCCTGATAAAATACAGGTTATTACAATGAAAATGAGTAGCTTAAACATTCTTATCAAGGAAGACTGATAGAATGAGATAAGAAATAAATGGAAATGAAGAAATTGGCCCAGATTATGTATCGGGCAAATGTAAACTAAAAAAAGCAAGAGAAGAAAACTAATATAAAAATACAAAACTTAAGAATCTTTTATTATGAAAAAAGATAAAAGCTACAAAGAAAAATAATCAGATACCATTTAATACAGATACAATAATGATCAGAAACCATTATGTGGCAAAGAATATAGCTTAAATTATATGAGGTAAAAATCTCTTTGAAACACAAGGAAAACTTAATAGGAATCATAATCACAATGGCAAACTTTAATATGCTTTTCTCAGCATTTGACAGACCTGATGGCAAAGGTGATGGCTCTTCTGGAAGTCTGTGGCCAACCTGTTGGCAGCCCGCCCGCAGTGTGATGACAACCAAACTGTAAGGTGTGATAACAGCGGCATTTCCACGGAAGATACCTCATATGTTTTAATAAACCTCTTTTTTCGCTTAAATTTTTAAAGTGTCTGTCATTTGGAACTACTATCTTTTTGGGAAAGTATTATGGCAATATTTATGAAAATGTTAAATGTACACACTCTCTGACCTAGCGGTGAAAACAGCAAAATACCATTCTTTATCCAGCAGATTGGTAAAAATTAGGAGTTCTAACCCCAGAAGTCTCATTTCTAGGAATTTATCTGACAGTATATAAAATATATGCACTAATAGATGCATTGTAGCATTGCTTCAATAGCAAAAAACATATAGAAACATCTTGTATGTTTATCAATAGATGGTAAATAATTATACATTCATATTATGAATTTATGTGCAGCTATTAAAGCAATTAAGATAGATCTGAATGTGTTGATTTGGAAAGCTGACCAGAACATCTAGTTAAGCGAGAAAAGCATATTACAGAACAATATACATAATTTTTATCCCCTTTTGTTAAATCCCCTTTTGTGTGTATGCATCGTCTCAAAGTACAGAAAAAGTATGGAAGGATTTAAGCTATGGTCATGATAGTAGTTAAAGAAGGGAAGGAAAAGAAGATGGTTCATTTTATTTTAAACACTTTTGTACTCTTTGGAATGTTTAAAAGAGCATTTTATAATTCAAATAAGTGAAAAATACTTTTTTAAAGAACAATAGAGACTACTTAAAGTTGGCCTGTAGCATCAGCAGGACATAAGATTTATGACTGTAATTACAGACCATGGAAATTTCATGGGGTTGTTACCACAATGAAAAGTCAAGCTTAAACAGTGAGGAAAGGATATTAATGCTGCTGTCAAAGTGAGCTTATTCACAGAATTCCTGTAAGTTATTATTCTATATATTAAAGACTACAGTTTTTGATTGAAGCCAAAATTGCCTGGCTTCCATAGTTACAAACATTTACATACTTGGGTCTCAGAACTGTATGGTAAAACAGACATTTTCAGGGCTTCCTAGAAATAAAAACAACTGATAATCTTTTCCAAATAATTAGACTAAAATGACAGAAACTGGGAGTCTATATGTTCCTCACGTTGAAACTTTGCCATTGAAAGAAACATCTATGTGCTTGTCACCTATTAACAGTTTGTCTCCCATGTTAGCCAAGGGTGATACTGGTATCCTAGGTGTTCCCACATGAATGAGAGAGGTGGGGACTGTGAATTCCCTGTACTGACTATGTGACTGGGGAGGCCACAACTTCTACTTCTCTTTACAAAGAAGGGAGGTTCACATAGCTTTGGAGCTGGGCATCTGGAGTCAGAAGACCTCTGTTCAAATCCTGGCCTACCACTTTTTGTATGACTTGGAATATAACTTAACCTTCTTGCTAAGTCTATTTTCTCAATGGTGGTAACAGTACTTACATTTCATAAGACCATAAAGATAATTAAATGAGATAATGGGATTATCCTAGTATCTGGCACAGTATCCAGTATTTCCTTTATGCTCAGTGTAAGATTTGTTCTCAGATTTCTTGAAAATTTTGTGTTTTAACCAGTCTCACTGTAGACTGTTCCAGATAACACTGGAATTAGACAGAACTGGGTTCTAGTACTGGCTCTGGGACTTTCTGTGTGACCTCAGGCAAGTCATTTAACCTCTCTGAACTTTCTCTATAAAAGGGATTCATAATATTTACTGCGTAATGGCATCGTGAGTAGTAAGTATAATGCATGGTATCACTCATGGTGGTGATGATGATAGAGGTCTCTGACAGCTGCCATCAAGGACAGGCCTGCTTTGGTCATCTAGGTTAACACAGAGTTGAGGGATAGGTGGGCAACACAACCAAATGACCACTAAATTCAATGTGGGATTCTGGATTGGATCCTAGAAGAGAAAAGAGTAATTAATGGGAAAACTAGAGAAATCTGAATCAAATCTGTAGCCCAGTTAATAATATTATACCAATGCTAATTTTATAGTTTTAACAAATGCACCATGGTGAGGTAAGATGTTAACATTAACATCAGAGAAAAGCTACATGAGGGTATGCAGGAACTGTCTTTGCAGTATCTGCAACTTTTCTATAAATTTAAAATTATTTAAATTATTAAATATTATTATTAAATATTAAATTATTTACATTTAAAATTATTCCAAAATTAAAAATTGTTTTTAAGAAATTACTCCTGTTTGAACAAGATGCATTTGTTGTTATTTCCCAGGCAACAAAAGGTTATCCATGTCTTAATTATAAAATAATTCAAAGTAATACTCTAAATCAGTGAAGGGCTGCTGAGAAGGGTAATTTGCACCCTTCAGCTGAAAATGATACAATCTATTTGGAAAGTCATGTGTCAAGTGCCTTAAACTTCCTTATGTCTTCTAGCCCAGAATTCCCACCTTTAAGGAGATAACCTTAGAAAATAACTAGAGGATCATGCTGAGAATTATGTACTATATGAAACTTTGCCATTGTATAACTTGCCACAGTGAAATGTAGAAGCAATCTAACAGCAACATGGTTGAATAAATTATGGCACATTCAAATGGTGGAATACTACAGCCATTAAAAGGGATATTTCAAAGAATATTTTATAAATAAGATAAATGCTTGTGACACAAAGTTAAGTGAAAAAATAAGACATAAAATTTATATACATATAATCTGATTTCCATTTTTTTATGCTAACCCTGATTTGTGTTTATGTGTGAATTTTAATTTTTCTCTGCATGTTTATACTTTTCCTGAATTTCCTGCAATGTATTCCTTTTATAATGAGATTAAAAGGATTTTGTGTTTTTAGGGCAGAGGCACCACAGGTGCATGCATGGCCTAAGTTTCTGCTTGGCTGCAGGAGGTGTGACGACCACAGCACATGCCACCTTCTGAGGCCATGCGGTACTTGACTCTCCCGGCACTGCCTTGCTTTTGAAGGCATCTAAAATCTCTCATTTTTTCCCACACCACATTTCACAGCTGGGTCATTCTGCTGAACTCAGCACAGGAGGACTCTCTCTCAGACTGGTTGGAAACTTTGGACACATTTGAAAACTGTCAACACAGTCTGTAAACACATCAGTTATAATGATTCTTTCCTAGGAACTTGACACACCCAGATGAACTCTCTTGTTATGACAGGAGAGAATTTCCTCTCAACATCTCCCTCATTTATTCAATACTCAAGAAATATCCATTGTGTGTCTGTCACACTAACAGGTGATGTGCTCAGCTCTGGGTATACAGTGATTAATAAACATTTCCACTGCTTTCATGAAGGTTACGCTCTACGAGGTAGAAAGACATTAAACGAGGGAACACACAACTAAATTTGTACTTACAAGGGGAAGTGACAACTATGAGATACAATAATTGATTTCTATTCCACTAGAGAAAATAAAGGGGCCTTAGTTTAAATGGATTAACGGAGGCCCCTCTGAAGAAACGACATGTGAGGGAAACTGAGGGAAGAATGTTCCAGACAGGAAAGTGCAAAGCCATAAGGCAAGCAAGAGACTCGTGAATTCCAGGAGCAGAATAAAACCCAGTGTGGCTGGGGCGTTGTGAGTAATGGGATTGGAGGGATGGCTAGGACCACCATTGTCTTTGAGGAGATGGAAGGCAGAGAATAGATTTTGAAGAGACAAATGGCCATTAAGGTATGAAGCAAATGGATTTGGAAATCCTCTCGCAAAACATCCTGAATGAGGGGCCAATGGTTACTTTGAGCCTGTGAATCCCCTCTGAAAAAGCATGCATATCATTCTATATCATTCTTATAAAACTTGGATAATCAAGGGTGAGAAATTTCAAAAGTTTATCTTAAAAACTTCAAGCAACAAGAAGTCACTTGAAGCTTTTAAAATAAGCTTTTGAAATTCTGTAATTTTTTTGTGACTAAACAACGTTTTTAAAATATGAGAGTTTCTGTAGGTTCTCAACTTGTGAGAAAGTAGAAATGTAATTTCAACATTCAGCTGGAATAAGAACTGTATGATTTATGAGAAAAACAGTTTCTAAACATAAAGTTAATATAAAAACATGGCACTGGCACTACTGTAATGGCACGTAAAACAAATTATGGGCAAGCAAAAAGAAAAAAGAGAAAAAGATGCATGGGCATAACAGCAGGCTTTTTCTAAAATTAGAAAGATTAAGTTAACCAAAAATTGTAGGGTTAATTGTGAACACCAGTTTCTCACACACAAACACACACACACGCACGCATACATGCACACACATACACACAAACATTTAATGCTTGTTACATGTCATACCTACAATGACTCTTCCAGGTAATTTATTATCCTTACTTATAAACAGATCATGTTAAGGACAGTATGAAGAATGATTTCCATTTGCTTTTTCTTCAGATAGTGGCCTTTTATTTCAGTTACTACCTTTCAAATAATCTCTTGGAGTACCAAGGAACAGGCCTGATCCAGAGGTGAATCAGCTATTACCACTAAAAAGATGTCCCTGTACACCCCACCATGGTCCTCTCTATGGAAGGATAATCCAGAGAATCGGAAATGTACCCTCATGACAAAGAGAAGATCACCTAATTATTAACAGTTTGCTCAGTAATCAAAAGACAACAAAACAAAACAGAGGTCACATAGCTTGCTGTACCTACTCAGAGCTACAGATTGTAATAGAGGAAAAGTTTTTCTAACCATGTGTGGTGATGCACACCTATAATCTCAGCTACTCGAGAGGCCAAGCTGAGGAATTGCTTACGCCCAAGAGTTCCAGACAAGCTTGGGCAACATAGCAAGACTTCCTCTCAAGAAATAAAAATAGAAGCTTTTGTGAACTCTAACTCATTATCTAATGGCATTGACCACCATTCGCATTAAAAAGGAAATAGAGACACAACTCAAGATAGAAGAAAGTCAATGGAGCCTCAAAAAATCATCCCCACCAGAAGAGCTCCTCTGAGTGGGAGATTCGGATATGCCACAGACATAGCATTGAACCTCTTGAATAACTCCATAGAAATGTATTGCCAATTGACGAGTTGATGGGTGCAGCATGTCAACATGGCACAAGTATACATATATAACAAACCTGCACGTTATGCACATGTACCCTAGAATTTAAAGTATAATAATAAAAAAAAAATTAAAAAAAAAAAAAGAAATGTATTGCCAAACCTTAGATCTCACTTTAAAACCTGGCAGTTATTACGTCTTAAAGAAATCATGGGAAAGTTTCTCTTTCTGTTACTGGAATTTTTTTTCTTCAAATACAAGAAGGAAATAATAGTATAATCATTTCTCTTTACATACAACGCACAACCCAAAGAAGGGATACATTGTGAGGTTTCTACTAACATGGAGATTATAGACACCTAATGCTAATTCTCCTTAACTGGTAATTGATGTTCAAGCTTCCTGTTTTCATCTCAAAATGTGTACTTAAAAAGAAAACCCCAGTATTAGGATTATTTCCCTCCAACAAGTAGACAAAATCAATCAACAATGAAATAGAATTTTTAAAGTTGTAAACCCATCATGTTAAGGTGCTTACACCAACAGCGTTACCTGCACACTGACCACAATGACCAAAGATGTGGCCATAGTAACTGCAAAGGACTGGTAATCAGCAATATGTTGCCCATCTTCTCCAGCCACGTTGTAAAAGGCCCCATAGGGGATGAAGAAAAGGGCTAATGAGGTGTAGATTCCATGTAACACGCAAATGAAAAATTTACGCTTGTTAAAAAGTAGATTCAGCTGTCCTGGTTCGTAGAGCTGGGGACAGTCCATGCTGTTCTGGTCACTCACATCCTGTAAACAGAGTGTAATTTCAGTGGAGAAGGATTAAAAAGAGTCAGAGAGGCCTTGTATTCCCTATCTTCAGAAATAGCAAATGCCTGTTTAAACATGTCCTAATATGCACTACTCACTGGGCCAGAACAGGACATTATCTTGTTTGTATTCCCACAATAAACCAGAAGATAATAAAATGATCTCTACTTTACAGAGAAGGAGCTTGAGTCTCCAAGAGAGATTCATGAGAGGTCACACAGCTCGTAAGTAGCAGGACCAGGGTTTGATTTGAGCCTAGCTATTTGGCTTCAAATTGAAGTTTCTTTCCTACACTCTCCTGCAGGCTGTCAGAAGCATTCATGCTCCCAGAATTCCAGCACATCATGGGCAGCCAATGGGCCCCAGAAGTTAATTGCCAAGCTAGTGAGTGGTAGTGACCAGGAGATGACAGCAGAGAGCTGTGGAGTCAGAACGGTCAAATCAGAGCTCATGACTTTGGAGGGAAGTGTGCAGGAAGAAGAGAGCAGAGAAAAGGGGAAACTGCATTTGGGACTCCAGGTGAGAAGGAGGCTGGGATGAGGATCCTACCCAGTGAGAATTTTAACAGCAGTTACCAGGTGTTCATGACAAAGAAATAATATAGACAGAATGAGAAGGTTTGATACCAACCAGGTCCCAAGAGAAACTAAATGCTTCTCAAACCCAATGTGCACACAAATCGCCTGGGAAACAGATTGTGATTCAGTAGGGCTGAGGGTTGCCCAAGACTGCATTTCCAGCCATCTCCAAAGTAATGCTGATAACCACAGTGAGCACCAGAGCCAAATGCCAAAAAACCACCAGGAACATCAGAGGACCACAGGTGGAGGAGAAGTGGCAAAGTGGAAGCAACACAGGTGGTGAACTATTGTGGGAGAAGAACATTCCCCTTCCTGCTTGTGGGATGGCCCAGGTCTCTCCAGAGTCCCATGGAAAAACACTGGCATATTCTCTTTAGAAAGTCCTGTTTTGAGATGCTTTTGGATGCTTGTTCCCCTAGTTCAGTGACTGAGGGTTACGTGCGCAGGCTTTGAAACAAGACAGTCATGAGCTCAATCCCTGGTAGCGGGTTTAGCTGGTGTATTATCTTAGACCTGTTACTTAATCCACCCGAGCCTTGGTTTCCTCATGCCCAGAAACGCAAACACCACCACCTCCCTCATGGAACTATCGCCATGATTAAACCAGTATGTAAAGTATTTAGTAGAGTTCTTGCCACATCACAAGTAATAAATATGCCAGATGCTTCTATAAATAATTAATAAAATAATGATAATAACAATAGCAATAATGTAGCAACCTCAAAGTTAAGAGGCCTGGTTCTAGGCTTAGCTGTGTCGCTTATTGGCTGGGTGGCTTTAGGGAAATGACCCTCCAAGGCTTGGTATCTGCCTTAAAAAATGAGCAGATCTGTTGACGATTGCTGAGGGCTGTCCGGCATAGCATTCCACAATCCTGTGATCTGTTTAAGGGCCGAGGTTGACAAAGCAGGAAAGGAGAGGAGCAGACACTCAACTTGATGGTAATAGGCAGCGTTATTATATTTTTTTTTTGAATTGCACAACCACCATCTTTTCCCAGAAACTGCTTTATTATTTTATTCCACATTCTGGGCAGCTACAAAGCTCCAAGAAAAGAAACACTTGTAAACATGGGCACTGAGAAATGAATGTGCTTAATCCTTTACATCTAAGGTCTGCAGAAGTTCATTACTTTTTGTATAATTCCACAAAATATGCCTTTCGCAAACTGCCCTTTTCACGTATGAGAAGAGAGACTACAACTGACTACAAAGCCAGCCGAATGGGAGACTGGAGTGAGCTCATAATGTGAAGATTTATATTTTGCAATAGACAGCTTTGGGCCAGAAAATGAAGCCTAGCAAACAGGTCTAACAACAGCCTGGAGAAAATCTGGTCTCCTTAAAAATACTTTTTTTAAAAAAACAAAAATCCTTTTTAAAAATAAGACACTCTAATTGTGCCACGGAAATTCCACTGGCTAGTCTTTCACTTCCCCACAGGCAGCCAGAGTTTTTCCCCTTCCCAGGAAGTCCCTTCCAAGGCTCTGAGTATGCCAAGGATCTACCATTTTTGTGATTGATTCTCTCCTTTCTCCCCACTCAAGCACTTTGATGCTGGGACAAAAAAAATCCATGCTTTTTCTTTCCATAGCTATGGGGCTTCTCGTCCTCCTCTCCCACTGGCAGACTGCTCTTCTAGTCTGTGGCTCCTTTCTGAGCTGTGTGTAACAAGGAAGTCTCACTGCAGATGTTAGCCCCCTGTGTTCCAACCTAGCTCCATGATATTCTATCCTTGCATGGTTCTTTATAAGCTCTCAGAGGCTAAGGCAGCATTTCCCTGTGTGTGAACCACACACACTAGTTCTAAGACATATTAATTGATAGGTGCTATATGAAAGCAAAAAAAAGTAAAGTACAGTCATAGAAGTTTGGGAAATGCTGGGTTAAAATGAAGTTAAAGAGATTACTTTGTACAGGACTTCTACAGCCTTTAGAACAATATATGGGGTACGAATCTCTGAGAGGAGAGTAACCAACTTTTATCAAATAATGCTTTCGGGGAAGCTAGGGTTCAAGGGTGAGGAAGGCACAGTGGACTGAAAGCATTTGTGATCCATACAAAAGCAACTAAAACAACTGCATTCCTAAGGCTTCTACTTAGAATTGTGTCTTCTACTTAGAACCCACAAAAAACCAAAAGGCATAGAAGAGAAACTAAGTTATAAAGATGGAAAAAACCTACCTGGTCAAAAATCCCCATGGCTAAAACAGGCAGTGATGTGTAAACAATGTTAAAAAGGGTGATGAACCACTGGTCATAAACAGTCTGAAAAGAAATATAACATATAAATGAGAAGGACCATCCATAGTAGTGAGAATATTCACGTTTAAGTCGTGAAAATATTCACCTTTAGGTTAAATAACCAGGTTTTCTGAGGTAAGTGGGAGTTGACTTTTGGAATCAGACAAATATGAGTTCTCTCCTGGACTTGCCTCTTATCAGCTCTGCTGCCTTAATGGGATACTAGATCTCTCTAAATAGCAATTTCATTATCTCTAAAGTGGTGTATACCCTTCCTGCAGCATGGCAGTGAGGACAATAATACATGCAGTACCCCTAACATAGTGCGGGACACGTATGAGCCCCCTGACCTTGTGGTGGGTTGCTATTTCATTCTCCAGGCTTTCAGTGGCTTGTAATGAGTCCAATTATCTGACCTAAGTGGTAAACAAAGGATTCACTAAAATCTTCAGAGATAAATACAGTAATGAGCCTGTTATTTCTATCCTGTTTTAAAATGGAGAGGTTTTTGCAGGGGAGTGGTTTAAAGTAAGATGGGCATGAAGCTACATGCTCACTATACTGGGCATAAACAAGCAAAACAATAAAAATATCCCCTCACACCTTTGTAGAGTAATTACACAAGAATTCCCTGCATGGGCCTCACTAAAAGTCAATGAGGCATGTGGAGCAGGCATATATCCCCATTTTGCCAATGAGTACACACAGATGTGGAAACAGAACCTTTCAGTTACAGAGCTTATTACGGACAAAAGCAAAAATTAAAATCCAGGTCTTCAGCTTCTAACCAATGCCCCTTTTACCACTCCATCATTCATTCACTTATTCATTCATTCAATATTTACTGATAAACCGCTATGTGCTAAGCATTAGGTTCTAGTCAATGATAATTCAGCATGATCAATCAAATAAAAATTCCTCACGAAATGTACATTCTAATGCAAAGGGAAGGGAAAGACAATAAACAAGATCAAATTTACAGAGAGCAGGAGGACTGTGTGAGTAAATTAGTTAGAAGGTAGTAAGTGCTAGAGAGGAAAGGGGATAGGGAATGTGGGAGGGCTGTAATTGTAATACAGGGACTGGAGAAAGTCTCACTGAGAAGTGAATTTGAGATAAGATCTGAAGGAAATGGGCCTAACATGCAGCTTTCTGAAACAGCTGGAAATGCTGGGACATCCAGCATTCCATACTGCAAGTAGGTTCCATGAAACAATCCTAAGGCAAGAAAGCATCCATTGTGCTCAGAGAACAGCAAGGTGGGCTGTTTGGGTAGAGCAGAGTGACCTGTAGGAAGAATAATGGATGTCAGGAGGTAAGAAGAACAATCCTATGTAACTAAACATGGCTTATTACCTAAGAGAAAGTAGAAGACATCAGAGGACTTTAAGCAAAAGAGCAACCTGGTCTTATTTACATTTTAACAGGATCACTCTGGATGCTATGCCAAGAAGCAACTGAAGAGAGAGGTGGAAGTGGGAAAGCTTAACACTCAGAGTAACCGTTTCTAATAACGAATTTTAAGTTCTGTGCATGGTAACTCCCCTTTGTTACTCTCTGATTCCTATTTTCATCATCTGGTCTAAACCCAGCTGTAAGGATTTAGAAAGAGGGACTATATCCAATGACAGGCTGATAAATGTTTAACAAGAGACTAAAAAAAAAAAAAAAAAAAAAAAAAAGCCTTGATTTGTAGCGTTTGCCAATTTCCATGGTGTAAATATTCCTCCATGACTGATTTCAAGCAGTGATGCCACTGAATGTGGAGTTGAGACATATTCACCATTATACAGTATTTATACAATACAGACCCAATATAATCTCAAGAGCATAAATAGTAAAACATGGGAAAATAACTAGGAAGGGATTCATTTTGAGTATATTAACTGTCTTTTGTTTTTAATATAACTTAAATTGTACATTTACATAATATAACTTTTAATAATGGCTGTATTTAACCACTGGCTCACAAAATTCCTGAAGATTTAACAATCAGCTCTTGTGAATCAGTATGGGCCAGTTCCAAGATACCACAGCCTAGGTCCATGCCGGGAGCAAAGTGGTACAAGACAGCAGAAGCCACCTGAAGGATAATGCACTCAACGTGGCATGAGAGAACTTGCAGAAGGGCAGGGCAGTAGTCCACTAGTCACGCAACCATGAGAACAGACTGGAAAAGCTGGCTGGCACTCCCTGGAACCCCCCTGGGTATTTAGCAGAGGTATCTGAAAGAAGCCTGAATTTATCGTACATGATAGGGGGCATGTACCATAATAATTGATTCATACCAAACCTCCTGCTGAAGATAACGAAAAAAGTTGAGAAAAAACAAAAGCATCTTCATCAAAGTATCAGTGAACTAACAAGGCAGTGGGGAATGACTGGTCAAGATCAAAAAGAGAATTAGAACTTAATAACTATCTCAAGGCCTAGGATAATGCTATTCTTCTCCAGACTCTATATTTATTTCCTTATACCAGCTGTTGAGGATAGAATGAAGGCCTGATATTTTCTGGGCTAGCCAACTATCCTGCTATGACAGAGTCTGTGACCTCACTGCTGGGAGGCTGCCTTTGGGTCCCAGCCCGGAGTAGGAAGGGTTTCATCATGATCTCTACCCTTGATGGGCACTGAACCTTCTCCCTTCAGCCCAGGAAACTACTGAAGGCACAGCTCAGTCTGTGAATTGTCCCCTATAGATAATCAACACTCCCAAGGTACATGGTTCAGAGCAGTGTGACCCTACAGGGTCCCAGCCCAGAGCAGCAGTTGTGACAGAGTCCCAGTATCCAATTCCTATCTATCCTCAAGAGTCTACCAAAACTGCAGCTCAGCCTCTGTATCTCCCTTCTGATGAGTGAATGTGTCCAACCCTACTTCTAGATACATATGTTCACAAATGTCTATCTTGGTGCAGCAGGATACACATAAAAATACTCATAGCAGCTACTGGTCGTAATAGTCCCCAAACATCAAGTATGGGATAAAGATATTATCACCTATCGATACAACAGAATACTGTAGAATAATGAAAAGCAAAGAATTATAACTATACCCAAAAACATAAATGAACAAAAACTACACATAATATTGAGCAAAAGAAGCCAGATACAAAGGTATAATTGCATTTAAATACAGTGCGAAAGTATGAAAATCTACTCCTATGTTGTTCTGGAACTCCTAATCATATAGTAAAATTATAAAACAGAAGAAACGTGACTATAAGATGTCAGGGTAATGGTCACCTCTAGAGGATTGGAAAAGAGGTCTCAAGGAAAAACCGGGGAGCTCTTGAGTGTTTGGAAATGTTATATTTATCGCAGTGGATCATGGTACATGGGTGCTCATTTCATAACAATTTAAGCTGATATTTACATACTTTTTAATATATTTGTTAAACTTTGCAAATAATAAAAAAATTAAAATTAAACATGTGACCTTATTTTATAGTTATAGCCCAGTGAGACTTCAGAAAGTAGGAAGATACCAAAAATCCTGATGCCCAGGCCACACCCCAGGCCAGTTAAATCAGTATCTCTGGGAGAAGGATCTAAGTTTTGGTCATTTTAAATTTTTTCCCGGTTATTTCCGTTTTGCCCCCAGGTTTGGGATTTCCCTTCCTTTTTTTTTTTTTTTTTTTTTAAATCAGAGCAGCTGACACAAATCTTCAACCCGTTGATGATGGCATCTGACAGTTTCAGCTATTAAGAAGAGAGAAAGAATCTGAGAAATTATGGCATACTCAACTGTGGACAGCTGAGTCTGGCATAGTGTGCCCTCATCATCACAAATAGGCTCGCATTACAAGCTACACTTATTCGACAACTATCAGCATTTGTCAACTGGCACCCAGATTTGAAGCCTCATTTCACAACTGGAGCAAGAGAGGACAGGAAGGAAAAATCAGAATAAGGTTTCAATGAGTTTCTGCAAATTCTCAGAAATCAGTGTCACAATAACAAAAAGAAAAAAAATAGCTGATATTTACTAAACATCTACTCTGTGCCATTTTAAGTGCTTTACATATAGCGTCTCATTAAATTTTAACAATCCCATGAGGTAGGTACTGTTAACAGTTCTCAGTTTATAAATGGGAAAACTGAGGGCTATCAAGGTTAGGAGATGGCTCAATGTCATACCTTAAATGCAAAGGTTTTCTCCAGGATGTGCTTATTTCACATTGCATGCCTGTATCAAAATATCTCATGTACCTAATAAATACATACACCTACTATGTACCCACAATTTTTTAATTATATTTTTAAAAACCCAAAGGGGAAAAAAAGGTTTTCCAAGTGTAGTTCAGAACCTTTTAGGGGATCCATAATGTCAAAACTATTTTCAGAATAATACAAAAAGTTATGTATTTACCCTTTCACCCCATTCTCTCATGAGTGTATATGATATGTGACATCACAGCTGGCTGAATGCAGGTGATATGAGAACCCAGGTGTTTTCTATTATGTTAACTAGTTTTACAAAAGTGTGAAACAATGGCATTCTTCCCATTAACTTGTTTTTGTTTCAGAAAATATAAGCATTTTTCTTAAAAATATGTTACTTTTGTAAACGTGTCATGGGTTCACCATTTTTTAACAAATTAATAAAAGTGTTTAGATTTTTTTCTTCATTTTCATTCCTTAGATGATAAATATTGATAGTGGGGTCCTGAGATCACAAAGTTTGAGAACTGTCAGCCAAGCAAGTGTCAGAGCCAACTCCAAGCCTATGAACTTTAGTGCCCACAACACTGACCACTGCATGAAACCACCTCTCTCAATCAGTGGTGTCATTTGGAAAGTTCCCTTGGCCTGGCATGGTGGCTCATACCTGTAATCTCAACACTTTGGGGGGTCGAGGCTAGTGGATCACTTGAGCTCAGGAGTTCAAGACCAGCCTTGGCAACATGGTGAAAACCTCTCTACCAAAAATACAAAAAATTGGCTGGTCGTGGTGGTGTGCACCTGTGGTCCTGGCTACTAGGGAGGCTGAGGCAGGAGAATCACTTGAATGTGGGAGGCAGAGGCTGCAGTGAGCCAAGATCACACCACTGCACTCTAGCCTGGGTGACAGAAGTGAAACCCTGTCTCCAAAAAAAAAAATAAGTTTTCTTGAAGGCTTTTTCCCTCACCTTGTCTAACATAATTGAGAGCATACAATAAACACAATTTTATATGCTGTTTTTTGGCATTTAAAACAGGGCTCCCCAACAGCCTATAACAGTCCATAGCCTGTCACCACCTGCGGCACAACAGGTGAGCGGCAGGCAAGCCAGCCTGAGCTCCACCTCCTATCAGATGAGCAGCTGCATAAGATTCTCATAGGAGCACGAACCCTATTGTGAACTGTGCATGCCAGTTCTATGCCTGATGATCTGAGGTGGAACAGTCTCATCTCAAAACCATCCCCCGTCTGTGGAAAATTGTCTTCCATGAAACCATCCCCTGGTACCAAAAAGATTGGGGACCAGTGATTTAAAATAACAACATTAGCATTGACCTGGCTTAAAACCCTCTAACGGCTTTCCATTTTACTTGGAATGAATCCAGACTCCCTATTCATCATGTCCTAAGAGCCCTTCCTGGTCCCCTGCCTGCCAGCCTCTTCAACTTCACCTCCCAACGTTCTCACCCTCCCTCACCTAGCTGAGGCTTCGCTGATGGGCTTTCTCCAACTTAATCGGCTCATTCCTGCCTCAGGACATTTGCATTGGCTGTGCCCTCTGCCTGGAACACTTTAATCCCAAGGTATTCATATGGAAGTTTCCTCTGAACACTTGGGTCACAATTCCAGTGTCACCTCACCCTCTCAATGAGACCTTTTACATTACCAAGTTCTTTCTTAACAATTCTGATATTATCTTACTGATTTCTTTATTATCTGTCTTCATCCCACTAGAATATAATCTCCATGAAAACAGAAATTTACTCACAACTACAATTTTAATGCCCAGAGCAGGATCTAGCCATTGGTAGATACTCTACAAATATTTGTTGACTATAGGTGCTCTATAAATACTTGTTGAATTAATTATTTTACAACTTTTTAGTAAATGCTACACATTTAACTTTTTACTAGGCATTTTCCCACAGATGCACCATAGATTCAAACTCAATATATCAAGACGAGAGTTCATCCTCATACTACCCTAACCAGTTGCCCCTCTTGGGTTTCCTATACCAGTATCTGATACCATCACATCCACCCCAGCATCCAAATCAGAAATCTGAGATTTCTCCCTCTCTCCAACACACCATATCAAATCACTCCCCAAATACCTGATGGCTTGTGTTCCTGCCCAAGCTATGCTTCACTTCTGGAACTTTCCTCCTGTTGTCCCCTCTGCTGGGATGCCCATCCTCTTACTTCTTATCTGCTTCAATATGTTTGATCCTGGAAGGGTCAGCATGGGATGGGGGGGTGAGGAGGTCTTCCAGGAAGACTTTCTGAGCCCTGGCCACTCCCTACCTCCGTGAGTGGCTTGCAGACCACTCATCAGTAGTTCCATGATGCCCCCATACCTCACTGCTTCTTAACTACTGACTTACAATTATTTATATGCTGGTTCCCAGCCCCGTCTCACGAGACTGCGAGCTACTTGAGAGCGGGTAATCTAACTGACCTATGGGGGCCAAGAACCAAACTCAGCACCTGCTCAATAAAAGGAAGCTGGTGTCTTAAGGGTAAAGGAGTCAGCAGACAGCTGTGTGGACTTGAGTAGGATACTGAATCTCTTTGAGTCTTGGTTTCCTCAGCTATATAATCAGGATTATAGGGAGGCTGTGAGTATTCGATGAAATGAGGTAAATGCCCCTACAGCACCTGAAAGACAGTGCTCAATAAGTGAGCACCATATGATGGAAGGAAGAAAGGAGGGAGGCCGGGGGGAGCATGCAAGGATCCAAGCTTCAAGCGATGTGTTTAATGAGTAAATAAAAAGGTACATTTTCATGCTAATTATGTTTTTACAAAAATAGAATTCTTTATTGAGACAATTAACCATAGATATTTATTTCTATAATAAACTATGGTAGCCATGAGATCAGTATAACATCAGAACAAGATTTAAAGAAAAATTAGTACCTTGGTACAATTACTTTCTTCATGAATACTTAATTATATCAATCACTGTTCACTCTAATTATGGTTTTTATCTCAGGATCTACCAAAATGTGATAACCTGAGTCCTTTACCTTAGAAACCAAATTTGCCAGTTATGGGCATTGGCTTAGCACAGTTTAGACTTCAGGGTCTTTCACAGAAATTAAGGCTACAAGCAATATTTTTTTTTTTTTTTTTTTTTTTTGAGACGGAGTTTCGCTCTTTTGCCCAGGCTGGAGTGAAGTGGCATGATCTCAGCTCACTGCAACCTCCGCCCCCCGGGTTCAAGCAATTCTCCTGCCTCAGCGATGACAGGCACCTGCCACCATGCCTGGCTAATTTTTGTATTTTTAGTAGAGACGGGGTTTCACCATGTGGCCAGGTTGGTCTTGAACTCCTGACCTCAGGTGATCCACCTGCCTCGGCCTCCCAAAGTGCTGGGATTACAAGCATAAACCACTGCTCCCGATCAAGCAATGTTTCTTCTACAACAGGTTTCTGTTCAAGAATCCTTGCAAGAGATCTGCAGCTACTCAAATAGCTATTCTAGTAAATGCCCCCCTTCTTCTTGCGGTCCTTAAATCCCCTTGGAAAAATTTTAAGTCCCCCTTCTGGTGACTAGGACTAGCTGAGAGGGGCACACGAGCCCCGATCAACCTCCCTGTTTCTCCCCTTCCAAGCATGCTCAGGCATTTTACCACCTCTTCTTCCTTCCCAACCCACCCAACACAGGTTGATCAGATGCCCTGAAGAGAGGGGAGGGTGGGGGTTGAGGGGTGAGGATTCTTTTCAGATTTCTAGGCTGACACTCTGATTTTGGGTGACTCAAATTGTTTCTATGAAAGGAGTCCCACAAAAAAATCTTTTCCCTAGGGCACCTGTACTCACAGGGGAAGCCACGCCACCTCTGCCTCCGAAATATTTGTTCCCTATCTCCAATATTCTGAACAAGAGAGAAAAGCCATGCTACTACAAGATGTCACAGGTCTGTTTAAAATCCTATAAGTGTCTCTTCACAGATCAGAAAAAAAAAAGAGGGAGGAGAGTTCATTTTTCCAACTTCACTGTTTTTCTATTTAAGGAAAGCTTCTCCTTGCTCCCTTCTTTATGGGAGCAATTTATCAGCCTTATCAACCATTTTATAAAGTTAAAAATACTCCAGCTACAAATTACAATCTAAAAACAGCTTGGAGAACACAAAACCTGTGATTTATAGAATGACACATTTAAATAAACCTTAATAAAGTTCTTAAACAGCTACAAAAGGCTTTCTGCTCTTTCTGCTCGACCACTGGCTGAGCTCCTTGTTCAAATAACAAGATGAACTTACTACCTCTTTGGAGATATGTATCCCCCTTTTCCTATGTGTTGCAGAGGAAACCTATCTAATGACCTTTTGGGGGCCTTAAAAAGCATTTGTCATTTAAAGAAAACACACTGTGGAATAAATATGAGGCGCTTAGCCTCAGCACATCTGTGATTGATTTGTGTAATTAGTAAAAACCAGCTCGCGGCATCCAGGAGGAGTGACCCAGGCCTGAACACTCGTCCAGTTCTGGACTTTCCCCAGAGCACATCTGGAAGGTGAGGGGGAGCAGAG